CTCTCTTTATTATCCAGGCTAGTCTAGAACTCCTGGGCTCAAACAATCCTTCTACCTCTGCCTCCCACAAGTGCTGGGATTACAGATGTGAGCCACCAAGTCTGATCAAAGTATGATTTTTTAAAGATATTTTTTGTTCATGAACTTTACAGATGAAGATTCTCTCAATTAAAAAGGGTATGTTTGCTTTTAGCCTGGCTCTAATAGGATCAGAGGTTTTGTGTGAAATCAGTCACACTCTCACTGCTGTCTGGTGTTAGGGGTTTAGTTTTTTTTGTTTTTGTTTTTGTTTTGAGATAGTCTCTGGAGTGCAGCGGCGTGACTTGGCTCACTGCAACCTCCACCTCCCAGGTTCAAGCAATTCTCCTGGCCTTAGCCTCCTGAGTAGCTGGGATTACAGGCGCCTGCCACCACGCCCAGCTAACTTTTGTATTTTTAGTAGACACGGGGTTTCACCATATTGGCCAGGCTGGTCTCAAACTCCTGACCTCGTGATCCAGCCACCTCGGCCTCCCAAAGTGCTGGGACTACAGGTGTGAGCCACTGCGCCCAGCAGGGGTTTAGTTTATAATTGTGAAATGGATGAGGCCAGACTGAGATGTAATCAGTGACCTCAGATCTGCTGGGACCAGGATGCAGTATTACAATAACCCCAAACTTCAAATTTTAAAAAAATTATATATATATTTACATTTAAAAAAAAAAAAAAACAATGAGAAAGGATAAGGTCAAACCAAACTCAGGCACCATTATTTTACCAAGGGTTCCTCCCCCAAATGCTAATTATTCAATTTATTCTATTCTACTTAATTTATCTCTGTTCCTTATTTGTCACCACTCAGAACCTTCCCATTAGTCCTAGCTTTGCAACGCCTGTGATCCCTGGTATCCCTTTGACACCAGTCTTTTTTTTTTTTTTGAAATGGAGTCTCACTCCATAGCCCAAGCTGGAGTACAGTGGCATGATCTTGGCTCACTGCAACCTCCAATTCCGGGGCTCAAGCAATTCTCATGTCTCAGCCTCCCAAGTAGCTAGGACTACAGGTGTGTGCCACCATGCCCAGCTAATTTTTTGTATTTTAGTAGAGATGGGATTTCACCACATTGCCCAGGGTGGTCTTGAACTCCTGAGCTCAGGCGATCTGCCCACCTTGGCCTCCCAAAGTGCTGGGATTACAGGCATGAGGCACCATGCCCAGCCTGACACCAGTCTCAACACCTTCCTACTGCATCCAGCTCTGGGAACTGAGCCAGAAAAACTGAGATCGAATCCTAGCTCTGCAACTCACTGGACCTCAGTTTCTTTTGCTTTTCCAAAAAGAAAAAAAAAAAAAGGAGACTGTACTATCCCCTCAAAGGATAACACTTGGTTAAATGGAATAACACCTGGCTCCTTGTAGGTGTTCAGTTTTCATCATTCCAAAGTTTGAACACACAGGATCCTTTCTGAATCGATCAAGTTAAAATCCTTGACGCAGACTAACAGAGCTCAACCTAAATGCTAATACCTACCTCCTTCCTCACCCCAATCCTCTCCTATAATAAAGTCAAGCTTATATAATGCCTTCCCCTTTATGATAAGCAAAAGAGGGCAGCAAACAGTGGTAAAGGCTTTGTCTTCTTTGGCCCTATCCTTCAAAGTGAGGTCACTTAGGGTTGAGAGGCAACAACTCTGCTTTGCCCTCTCAACTTGATTACAATTTTAAGTCTATACAGATCTTTAACTGGAGCATTTGCACCCTCCTGCCCCCAATAAACATGGTTCTACCTTCTTCAGGTAGTTTCCATAAATGCCAGCAAACTTTCAATCTGATTACTACTACCTCTTCCAATAACAGACTGGTGGGAAATAAAGCCAAGGATTTGTAGTCGGGCCCAGGTTTGAATTCTGGCTTCAGCACTGATCAATTGAGTTAACTTTAGAGTACATAATCTAACTTTTGAGCCTCAGCCTCAGTTTCCTCACTGGCAAAATGAAGTCTTATGTATTATTTTATTTTTAAATTTATTTTATTTTATTTTTTTGGAGACAGAGTCTCCCTCTGTTGCCCAGGCTGAAATGCAATGGCACAATCATGGCTCACTGCAACCTCCACCTCCTAGGTTCAAGTGATTCTCCTGCTTCAGCCTGCTAAGTAGCTGGGACTACAGGCACCCGCCATTACGCCTGGCTAATTTTTGTATTTTTAGTAGAGGTGAGGTTTCACCATGTTGGACACATTATTATTATTATTATTATTATTATTATTTTTGAGACAGAGTCTTGCTTGGGGGCCCAGGCTAGAGTGTAGTAGCACAATCTCAGCTCACTGCAACCTCAGCCTCCTGGGTTTTAAGCGATTCTCCTGCCTCAGCCGCTGCAGTAGCTAGGATTACAGGCGTATGCCACCACGCCCGGCAAATTTTGTATTTTTAGTAGAGGCAAGGTTTCACCATGTGGGTCAGGCTGGTCTCGAACTCCTGACCTGAGGTGATCCACCCACCTCGGACTCCCAAAGTGCTGGGATTACAGGCGTAAGCCACCGCGCCAGGCCATATTATTTTTATAGATTGATCTGTATTACCTAACTTTGAGGTTGTTGTAAAAATGTCAATATCTTTAAATAAAGAACCTGGCCAGTACCTGGCATCTAACAGACACTCAATATTAACAGTGGCAAACACTATACACTCTAGCCCCTAATACAATGCTAAGAATCTTGGTTAAAATATCTGCAGACAGGGTACATTTGTAGAATGAAATAAGCTGTATCTGAGGAGTCCAATATTCCACGAAGTTTCTCAATGTTCTACCAGTAGAGTGATGCTCCAGAGTCCAGAATACTCTCTGAGATTTTCCAGACTTGCCCACAGGCAGAGCTGACTACCCTAATCTTGCTGGTCACCGCCACATGCTTTATACTGACTTGAACATGTGCTCTCACCTTTGTCTTCCTTCCTGTCCCCTCTTTGAGACTATGACTTCTCTGAAGGCAGAAATGTAGCTTATTTTTTATAATAAATTGCAAAACAAATGTTTGTTAAATAAAAACCCCCCAAAAAGCCAAAAACTTTAAAAACTGCTAAGCAGAGTCAACTCTTATATGGAAGGAATCTAACTTTTCCCTTTAAGCAAGTCAACTGCACAAGACCCAACTGTGTTGACAGCACTGAGGCAAAACTAAATGAAGTGAGAATTAATACAGTTCACACCCTGTCATGCCTGATTTAAATCACCAAGATTACAAGAAACATTCCTGTCACCTGGCTCAATCCTGTTCCTAGTCTTCTGCCTGAGGCTCCCCTGAGCTCCTACAGTTTAGACCAATTTCTTGGCATTCTGTTTAAGAATCTTAATTTGATTCAATGGTAAAGCATGAAGTTCTCATTTTAAATTGTTTATTTTTTTGTTTTGTTTTTTTTTTTTTTTGAAAGAGTCTGGGCTCTGTCACCCAGACTGGAGTGCAATGGCGCAATCTCAGCTCACTGCAACCTCCGCTTTCCCAGGTTCAAGCAATTCTCCCTCTTCAGCCTCCCGAGTAGCTGGGATTACAGGCACCCGCCACCACGCCTGGCTAATTTTTGTATTTTTAGTAGAAACGGGGTTTCAGCATGTTGGCCAGGCTGTCTCGAACTCCTGACCTCAGGTGATCTGCCCTCCTCAGCCTCCCAAAGTGCTGGGATTACAGGTGTGAGCTACCACCCCATGCCTTTTCTTTTTGAGACAGGGTCTCACTGTGTCACCCAGGCTGGAGTGCAGTGGCTTAATCTTGGCTCATTGGAGCCTCTGCCTCCCAGGCTCAAGTGATCCTCCCACCTCAGCCTCCCAAGTAGCTGGGACTACAGATGCCTGGCATCACACCCAGCTAACTTTTGTGTATTTTGTAGAGATATGGTTTCACCATGTTGCCCAGCCTGGTCTTGAACTCCTGGACTTGAGCAATCTGCCCGTCTCAGCCTCCCAAAGTACTGGGATTATTACAGTGTGAGCCACCATGCCTGGCTTAAGTTGTTTGTGTCTTACAAGTTCCTCATATTAATGTCCTTGTCATTTTGTCTTACCAACACTATAAAGGCAGATTGCTCCAAAGAATCCCCTCTTGCCCTCCACAAACTATACAGACACCTCCCTAACTTAGTGGGCAGGAAGACTATACAATCACACCAGCAAGAATAGCAACTGCCCAGTGCTCCCAAATGGAGAGAGGTCTTGTATTCATCAATGGTAGGGACGGCAAGATACAAAACAAAGAATTTACTGTTCAGCAGCAAGTTTAGTACAACATGGGCAAACCCACAGCAGATACTTCCTAACAGAGTGCAATGTGCAATTGGATTTGGCCCTTGTTTTTTCTTTTTTTGGGGGAGACAGGGTTTTGTTCTATCACCCAGACTAGAGTGCAGTGGCACGATCACGGCTCAGTGCAGCCTTGACCTCCTGGGCTCAAGCGATCCTCCCATCTCAGCCTCCTAACTAGCTGGAACTACAGGCATGTACCACTATGTCTGGCTAATTTTTTAAAGAGATGGGGGTCTAAATTCCTGGGCTCAAGCAATCCTCCCACGTTGGCATCTCAAAGTGCTGGGATTACAGGCATGAGCCACCATGCCTAGCCAGACTGAGCCCTCCTGACACTCGCCCTGCCTTTCTGGTAAACATTCTCTTACCTTTCCCATTCCTATGGGTAGGACCTGAGAGCTCTCACCTTTCTCCTTCACTTATAAATGTTGACATGCCTAGATCAGGGACACCTCCAAATGTCAAATGTTAACATGATGCCTGGACATCAGAGGTGGAAGCAGTTTTCTCATTCACGTGGTCAGAGAAGCAAAGATTCTTCCTCAGTATGCTGAGAGATTAACGTACAAAGGCAGGGGATTAACCACGGGACCAGGAGTGGTGGCTACAACAGCCAGGGGAAAGAAGCTTAACCATGGCCTTTTGTGGGGGTGGTGTTTTTTGACACTAAACTGGATCATACCGAAGTTAAGTTAAATAATTAACAGAAATACAGCCTTACCTGGAACCCTGGATCTTAAGAAATAGAGAAACTTTCCATTCTTGGAGTGCATAATGGCTCTCTTAATAAACTCTACAACAGATTGACAGCGGTCCTCAAACTTAGGATGACACCACAGGCTGAAGGTTCCTGCCATGGAAAATTAAGAAGTAAAAATTTTAAAACTTACTTTAGAAGATAGGAGAGGCTGGTTTGAATATTTTAACAATGATTCTCACTTTTGGGAGGGCAATTTGGGGGCAAGCTGGCTCAAAAGTCTCTGAAGCTACCTGTTCCTGCTTAGCTCACAGTTAACTGTAAAAAGATGTTGCCTTTTGTAAGACATAAATTAGATCTTACAAAGTTTTTGTTAAGTAAATACAAGTTAAGTACTCCTTATCCGAAATGCTTGAGACCAGAAGTGTTTCAGATTTTGGATTTTTTTCAGATTTTGGAATATTTGCATTATACTTACCCATTGAACATCCCTAATCCAAAACTCTGAAATCCAAAGTGCTCCAGTGAGCATTTCCTTTGAGCATCATGTCAGTGTGCAAAAAGTTTCAGATTTTTAAGCATTTTGGACTTCAGTTTAGGGATACTCAACCTTTAATAATTTCAAATCAGAAAAGAAGATATGAAATTTTTCATCAAGTATGAACATTAATCTTTAAATCACAGACTTCCTCTCTCTATATATATGTACTTATGTATATTAAGTATAGGTACAGTCATGCATTACTTAATGAGAGGAATATGTTCAGAGAAATGCATCATTAGGCAAACATCAGAGTGTACTTATCCAAACCTAGATGGTATAGCCTACTACACACCTAGGCTATGTGGTAGAGCCTACTGCTCCTAGGCTACAGACCTGAATAGCATGTTACTGTGCTGAATACTGGAGGCAACTCTAACACAATGGTAAGTATATGAATACTTAAACATATTTATGTTTAAATATGTATCTAAACATATTTAAACATAGAAAAAGTACAGTAAAAATACAGTAATATAATCTTATGGAACCACCGTCATATATGTAGTCTATCATTGACCAAAATGTTGCTAAACAGTGTATGACTGTGTGTGTGTGTACACATATAAGCAGGTCTTTGAATAACATTTTGTTCAGTGTTGTTTCCTTATAACTTTTTTTTTTTTTTTAGACGGGATCTTGCTCTGTCACCCAGGCTGGAGTGCACTGGAGTGATCTTGGCTCACTGCAACCTCCACTTCCTGGGTTCAAGTGATTCTCCTGCCTCAGACTCCTGAGTAGCTGGGATTACAGGCACCTGCCACCACGCCTGGCTAATTTTTGTATTTTTAGTAGAGACGGGGTTTCGTCACATTGGTCAGGCTGGTCTCGAACTCCTGACCTCAAGTGATCCACCTGCCTCGGCCTCCCAAAGTGCTGGGATTACAGGTGTGAGGCACCATGCTTGTTCCCTTATAATGTTGATAGGAAAAAAAAATTGATTTCTGGCCAGGACCACTATCTGTGTGGAGTTGGCACATCTGCATGGGCTTTCTCTGGGTATGCTGGTTTCCTTCCATATCTCAGAGATGTGTGTGTAAGGTGAAATGGCATGCTAAGCTGTGCCAGTCTGAGTGAGTGTGGGTGTGTGGGTATACACCCCCCGATGGAATGGTGTCCTGTCCAGAGTTGTTCTGCCTTGCATCCTGAACTGCCATGATAGGCTCCGGCCACTTGTGATCCTGAGCTGGAATACTTGGGTAAATGATTATCTAATTTGTTTTCATTAATCTTTCTTACATGTGTGTATAGTTTACATACATTTCACTGTTTAATATTAGAAGTGTTTTGGTCTTTTTTTTTTTTTTTGAGATGGAGTCTAGCCCTGTCACCCAGGCTGGAGTACAGTGGCGAGATCTCAGCTCACTGCAAGCTCCCCCTCCCGGGTTCACGCCAATTCTCCTGCCCCAGCCTCCTGAGTAGCTGGGACTACAGGCGCCCGCCACCACGCCTGGCCAATTTTTTGTATTTTTAGTAGAGACGGGGTTTCACCATGTTAGCCAGAATGGTCTTGATCTCTTGACCTTGTGATCCGCCTACCTCAGCCTCCCAAAGTGCTGGGATTACAGGCGTGAGCCACTGTGTCCAGCTGTGTTTTGGTCTTTATGTAGAAGTTTGGTCTTTATTTCAGCCTGACCAACATGGAGAAACCCCATTTCTACTAAAAATACAAAATTAGCCGAGCTTCGTGGTGCATGCCTGTAATCCCAGCTACTCGGGAGGCTGAGGCAGGAGAATTGTTTGAACCCAGGAGGCAGAGGTTTCAGTAAGCCAAGACTACACCATTGCACTCCAGCCTGGGCAATAAGAGCGAAACTTCATCTTTAAAAAAAAAAAATTGGTTTTGTTATGCGTCATTTTGCTTAAAGTCAGTTTCTAAGAACCTATTAATGACCTTTAAGTGAGGACTGACTGACTTATGTACGTACACTGACCCTTGAATAATGTCGGGGGGGCATGAACCCAATCCCAATGGCCCAACATCCTCCTCAACCCCACCAAAATCAAAAATCCACATATAACTTTTGACTCCCCAAAAACTTTACTAACAACCTACTGTTGACTGAAAACCTTACCAATAATATAAACAGTTGATTAACATATGTTTTGTATGTGACATGTATTATATACCGTATTCTTACAATTAAGCTAGAAAAAGGAATACTATTAAGAAAATAAGAAAATATATTTACTACTGATTAAATGGAAGTGGATCATCATAAAGTGATCATAAAGTGGATCATCATAAAGGTCTTCATCCTCATTGTCTTCAAACCAAATAGACTGAGGAGGAAGAGGAAGAGGAGTGTGTCTCAGGGTTGGCAGAGGTAGAGAAGGTGGAAGGGGAGGCAGGAGAGGAAGGCACACATAGTATAAATTTACAGAAATGTTATAATTTGTCTAACTTTTTTTGCTTTTTCTATTTTTTAGAAACAGGGTCTCACTCTATCACCCAGGCTGGAGTGCAGTGGTGTGATCACAGCTCGCTGCATCCTCGAACTACTGGGTTTAAGTGATCCTCCTGGCCTAGCCTCCTGCATAGCTGAAGCTATCAGCCCAGGCTGGTCTTGAACTCCTGGCCTCAAGTGATCCTCCTGCCCTGGCCTCCCAACTGCTGGGATTACAGGCATAAGCCTCCACACTCAGGCTTGGTTTTTCATTTCTCTAAAAATGTTTCCATATGGTACCAATTCTTCTTCCACCATTTGCTTTGGTTTTAGTGCTCATATCATCGAAGGGTCCAAGTCTAAAATAACTCAAAAGCAGTCTCAAATAACCTGAACCCTTCTGCCAGATTGCCTGACATCAATGTTTTCTGGCACTGTTTCTTCTATGTCTTCTTCCTCGTCATCTGGCACTGGCTCAGAAGAATTCATCTCTATCAAGTCATCTTCAGTTAATTCCTCTGATGTGCTGTTCTTGAATTTCTCTAAAATCCCTCTCTTGAAATCTTTCACCCCTTACCTTCTATTTTTGCCATATCTCTTTCATGATTTCCTTGATTGGCTCTGTCACAGATCCTATGAAGTCACACATAATTTCTGGACACAGTTTTCTTCAGCAGGAATTTATTGTTTTCGGCTTGATGGTTTTCACAACTTTTTCTTCTGAGACAGGCTCACACTCTGTTGCCCAGGCTGGAGTGCAGTGGCATGATCACCCGCTCACTGCAGTTTTGACCCTCCCGAGTACCTGGGACTAGAGGTATGCATGACCATGCCCAGCTTATTTTTGTATCTTTTGTGGAAATGTGGTTTCACCACATTGCCCAGGCTGGTCTCTAACTTCCAGGTTCAAGTGATCTGCCCACCTCGGCCTCCGAAAGTGCTGGGATTACAGGCATGAGCCACTGCACCTGGCCCACAATTTCTTCTATAACAACTACGGCATCTTTTTTTTTGAGATGGAGTCTCACTCTGTCGCCCAGACTGGAATGCAGTGAAGCGATTTTGGCTCACTGTAACCTCCACCTCCCAAGTTCGAGTGATTCTCCTGCCTCAGCCTCCCAAGTAGCTGGGATTATAGGCATGCGCCACCAGGCCTGGCTAATTTTTGTATTTTTAGTAGAGACGGGGTTTCGTCACATTGGCCAGGCTGGCCTCACACTCCTGACCTCGGGTGATCCACCCACCTTGGCCTCTCAAAGTGCTGGGATTATAGGCGTTAGCCACTCCACCCGGGCAACTATGGTATCTTCAATGGAGAAATCCTTCCAGACATTCATGATGTTCTATCGGTGTCTTCTTCCACAGCACTTAAAATCCGTTGCATAGAGTACCAAGTGCAATGAGTGTGAAAGGTCCTTATGACCCATCTGATCTAGAGGCTGAATTAGAGACATTGTGTCTAGGGGCAAGCAGACCACTTTGACACCTTCAGTGTTGAACTCATGGGGTGCTGGGTGGCCAGGGGCATTGACCAATATCAAAAGAGCTTTAAAGGCAGTCCCTTACTGGCAAGGTACTTCCTGACTTCAGAGACAAAGCACTGATGAAACGAATCCAGAAAAAAAGGTTCTCATTGTGCATGCCTTCTTGTTGTACAACCAAAAGACTGTAGCTTTATAGGTAAAGGTAGTCCTGATTATTAACCCAATTGCATTTGCACAAAACGAGAGAGTTAGCCTACCCTTTCCTGCCTTAAATTCTGGTTCTTACTTCTCTTCCTTACTAATAAATATCCTTTGTGGCATTTTCTTTCCCCCAGAATAGGGCACTTTCATCTTCATTAAAAACCTGTTCAGGCAGATATCCTTTCTCCTCAGTGATTTTCCCCATGGTGTCTGGGAACCTGTCTGCTGCCTCTTGGTCAGTAGAAGCTACGCCTCCTGTTATCTTGACATTTTTCAAGTCAAATTGTCCTAAAATTATCAAACCATCCATTGCCGGAATTAAATTCTCCAGCTCTAGTTCCTTCACTTTCCTCTTGCTTTAAGTTGTCATATAATGACTTTACTTTTTCCTAAATCATATTAATCTATAGGTATGCTTTGCTTTTCTGTTTTCTTTTTTGAGACAGGCTCTTGCTCTGCCACCCAGACTGGAGTGCAGTGGAGCAATCATGGCTCACTGCAGCCTTGACCTCCTAGGCTCAAGTAATCCTCTCACTTCATCCCCATGAGTAGCCAGGACCACAGACAGGCATCACCATGCCCAGCTAATTTTTAAATATTTTAGATCTCACTATGTTGCCCAGGCTGGTCTTGAACTCCTGCCCTCAAATGATCCTCCCGACTTAGCCTCCCAAAGTGCTGGGATTACAAGCATGAGCCACTGCACCCGGCCAAAGTATCCATTTCTTATAGTAGCAATCTGGCACCCATATAAAAGCTGCATTTTCACTATGAGATTAAAAAGTATTTCACAATAAATGAAAGCAGAAACAGTGGCTTCACGAACGAATGTCTTTTCCTTTTCTTTCTTTTTTTTTTGAGACGGAGTTTCACTCTTGTTGCCCAGGCTGCAGTGCAATGGCATAATCTCGGCTCACCACAACCTCTGCCTCCTGGGTTCAATCGATTCTCCTGCCTCAGCCTCCTGAGTAGCTGGGATTACAGGCATGCACCACCACATCCGGCTAATTTTCTATTTTTAGTAAAGACGGGGTTTCTCCATGTTGGTTAGGCTGGTCTCGATCTCCCGACCTCACGTGATCCGCCCGCCTTGGCCTCCCAAAGTGTTAGGATTACAGGCGTGAGCCACCACACCCAGCCTTTTTTCTTTTATTACAACAGTCCTTATGCTGAATTCACTTATCTTGAAATGGTGAACCACCACAGCTGCAGACCTCAAACTATGTACAAACTGAGCAATTTTTCTTGTGATGTTCTAACTTTTCTCTGCTTCTTAGGAGAACTTCCAGCAACACTAGTGGCACTAGTGGGTCCTACAGTATTATTCAAGGTTTACTGTATTGCACTAAACACAATGAAAACTATACAAGAACCATGAGAGATCAATTTTTACTGTGATACACAATTAGCTGGAGAGATAAACGCTCACGTGGTGATGACTAGCGTCACACAGCATTTTAAGCGGATACTTGCAACACTTGAGCTCACCACAGTAGTAACAGGGAGTTGGCTATGAAACATTACAGTAGTACATCCAGTATGTAACAGTTAATTTTATGCAGTTATGATTTAATACTGCACCTTTACATTTGTTTACATTTTCTCTCAACAGTGAATGGTGCCATGTACGGTTTGTGTGCATAAGTTTTGATAAAGTTTTAACTTTTTATAATAGATTTGTATTTATTTCATGGTAGCAAATGTTAAAATAGACTAGTATCCACATATATTTTATTCATTCATAACATACCTTTTTAACTTTTTTGATATTTCTAGGTTAGTTTATCTGTAAGATTTTACAAACTGTCACAAATCTCCTAAATATTTTCCAATGTATTTATTTTTTTAAATCCATGTATAAACAGACCTGCACAGTTCAAACCCAGGTTGTTCAAGGGTCAACTGCATATACTTCTTAGAGACCATATGGAATAGTCGAGGAAAGACAGGAACAGCAGTTTTGTGGGTCTCATTCATTCATGTGTGTGTTGAGTGCAAAAAATAAAAATCTAAGTCTTTCCTTCTTTAACTGTAAAACCCCATGCCAACATATTACAAAGATCCCACCTCAAACTTTAAAATCCCAAATGGAAAAGGGAATCTGAACTCCTATGACTTAAAAAAATAAAACAACAAAAAACTCAAAAAAATGAAGCACCAGATTCCAAAGGAATCACCCACCAAAAAAAAAGAAAGGGCCAGGCGCAGTGGCTTATACCTGTAATCTCAGCACTTTGGGAAGCAGAGGTGGGCAGATAGCTTGAGCGCAGGAGTTCAAGACCAACCTGGACGACAGAAAAATCCCTGTCCTGGCCAGGCACGGTGGCTCACGCCAGTAATCCCAACACTTTGGGAGGCTGAGGTGGGCAGATCACCTGAGGTCAGGAGTTCGAGGCCAACCTGACCAACATGGTGAAACTCCATTAGCCAGGCGTGGTGGCATGCGCCCAGGAGCTACTCAGGAGGCGGAGGCAGGAGAATCGCCTGAACCCAGGACGCAGAGGTTGCAGTGAGCCGAGATTGTGCCACTGTACTCCCCTGGGCAAGAGAGCGAGACTGCCTCAAAAAAAAGAAAAAAAAAAAAATAGTTGGGCATGGTGGCACCCATCTGTAATCCCAACTACTCAGGAGACTGAGGCAGGAGAATCGCTTGAACTCAGGAGGCGAAGGTTGCAATGACAGAGCGAGACTGCCTCAAAAAAAAGAAAAAAAAAAAAATAGTTGGGCATGGTGGCACCCATCTGTAATCCCAACTACTCAGGAGACTGAGGCAGGAGAATCGCTTGAACTCAGGAGGTGGAGATTGCAGTGAGCCGAGATCGTGGCACTGCACTCCAGCCTGGGCACAGAGCCAGACCCTCTCTTTAAAAAACAAAACAAAAACAAAACAAAACAAAACACAAAAAAGGGATACTAATCAGTCAAGAGAACTGCAGATTTGAGTCTCTCTACCTACTCTTATAGTATAACTTTAAAAAGACAAAGACAAATGCTCCACTGCAAACTGGTAACTGAAAGGCCCATAAGGTTTCCATTAAAAATTCCAGTTACAGGCCGGGCACGGTGGCTCAAGCCTGTAATCCCAGCACTTTGGGAGGCCGAGACGGGCGGATCACAAGGTCAGGAGATCGAGACCATCCTGGCTAACACAGTGAAACCCCGTCTCTACTAAAAAATGCAAAAAAACTAGCTGGGCAGGTTGGCGGGCGCCTGTAGTCCCAGCTACTCGGGAGGCTGAGGTAGGAGAATGGCGTAAACCCGGGAGGCGGAGCTTGCAGTGAGCTGAGATCCGGCCACTGCACCCCAGCCTGGGCGACAGAGCAAGACTCTGTCTCAAAAAAAAAAAAAAAAAAAATTCCAGTTATAGGCCAGGCACTGTGGCTTATGTCTATAATCCCAGCTCTTTGGGAGGCCAAGGCAGTAGAATTGCTCCAGTCCAGGAGTTCAAGACCAGCCTGGGCAACACAGTGAGACAATGTCTCTACTAAAAAAATATTATTTTTTAATTAGCTGGGCATGATGATGCATACATCTAGTCCCACCTACTAGCAAGGTTGAGACAGGAGGATCACTTGAACCTGGGAGGTTGAGGCTACGATAAGGAGTGATCTCACCACTACACTCCAACTTCCAACTTGGGCAGCAGGGTGAGACCCCGTCTCAAAAAAAAGAAATTCCACTTATTCAAGGAAGCAAAGTCCCTTTAACAAAAAGTAACTGGTGGCCAGGTGCAGTGGCTCACACGTGTCATCCCAGCACTCTGGGAAGCCGAGGCAGGCAGATCACGTGAGGCTAGCAGTCGAGATCAGCCTGGCCAACAAGGCGAAATCCTGTCTCTACTAAAAATATAAAAATTAGCTGGTCGTGGTAGTGCACACCTGTAATCCCAGCTACTTGGGAGGTTGAGGTACAAGAATTGCTTGAACCCGGCCAGGCATGGTGGCTCACTCCTGTAATCCCACCACTTTGGGAGGCCAAGGCAGGCAAATCACGAGGTCAGGAGTTCAAGACCAGCCTGACCAACATGGTGAAACCCAGTCTCTATTAAAAATATAAAAAATCAGCTGGGCGTAGTGGCAGCCGCCTGTAATCCCAGCTACATAGGAGGCTGAGGCAGGAGAATTGCTTGAACCCGGGAGGTGGAGGTTGCAGTGAGCCGAGATCATGCCACTGCACTCCATCCAGTCTGGCGACAGCGAGACCTGTCTCTTATACACATCTAGATGTGTATAAGAGACAGCACTTGAACCCAGGAGGCGGAGGTTGCAGTGAGCTGAGATTGTACCACTGCACTCCAGCCTAGGCGACAGAGCGAGACTCCGTCTCAAAAAAAAAAAAAAAAAAAAAAAAGAAATTCAGAACAGAACAGTTACAGGATCAACACTAAATTCTCCTCTTTGTATATGTGATTTAACAAAGTATCTCTAGATGATAAGTTTAATTCCAAACAAAGCTTGTGAGAATTTGCCTAATGGTCCTAGGTTCTTTTTTCCTTTTACCTAAAGAGTTTTACTGGCTCAGTTCTTGGCAGCCTCTCCAACAGCTTTGTTCAGGCCCTCCTATTTAGGAGACAAGATGCTGCTGACAAGACTTTTAAATGGGACCCTTACTCTCCCTTCCCTACCCCCTCCATTTCTTCTAGTGACTGAAACAAGTGCCCATATCAATATTCAACTGAGTCTAAGATAATTTTTCCCCTATTCCTAGTTCCATTCCCATGAATCTCTTCCACAAAAAAGTCAGACAGCAAGGGCAGAGCAAAGCAAGTGGGGGAAGAAGGCTCTCTTATCAGCATCTCTTACCTCTGTAGTGCTCCATTCTAGTGTGGTGGGTGATACCCTGCGATCGGAAACTGAGGCTCAGGATGTAACGAGGATCAGAACTGTCTCGTACCAGGAAAGAACCATCTGGTTTCCCTTTCAGCTTCATCTCTGCATCTTCCCAATTCATTGGCCCCCAATACCAACCACACTATCAAAGACAAGAAGCAGTCCACTAGTTATCAGGACAGAGAAATGTCAAAGTTTTCAGCACAATCTGTCTTAACATGGGAGAACCCTCTGCATTCTCTCCAAAACATTTTAATAGGTAAAAGCCACTTACAAGGGTCTCAACCATTAGCAATGAACATCACGCTCACTATACTTTTAGCCCTCCAAAGTAACAGAATAATAATTCTGGCCGTGAGCTGTGGCTCATGCCTGTAATTCCAACACTTTGGAAGGCTGAGGTGGACGGATCACTTGAGGTCAGGAGTTCGAGACCAGCCTGGCCAACATGGTGAAACCCCATCTCTACCAAAAATACAAAAATTAGCTGGGTTTGGTGGCACATGCCAGTAATCCCAGCTATTCAGGAGGCTGAGGCAGAAGACTCGCTTGAACCTGGGAGGCGGAGGTTGCAGTGAGCTGGGATTGTACCACCGCACTGCACTCCAGCCTGGGTGACACCGTGAGACTATGTCTCAAAAA